TTAAAAAGGGTCACATTTACGTCTTCGCTACAACGATAGAATCTGCGAGCCAACATATTGCCTCTAACTGAGAGAGCCCTACATTCCCTTTCTATATCAGCGTCGTCTTTAAGGTCGTCAGTAATTATATGTCCCAGATATTTAAATTATGATACACATTGTATGTTCACGCCGTTCAGGGTAATGTTATTGACTTTATCGGGACATTCACCAGCGGCCTTAAACACCATGCATTCTGTCTTTTTACATTGTATATGAGCCCATGCTCCGCAGCATATTTCTCACAAACCCTTAGCATCTCGTTAAGAGCCCCTGCAGTTGGACAGAGCAATACACTGTCATCAGCCTAATTTATATTGTTGGTGCTTACTCCGTCAATACGGCATCCGACACGCATACTCCTCAACAACTGTAAAGTTTTAGTTGATCAATAACGATTTTATTTATTATTATTTAAAATTCGCGTCGTAGTAAACAACTTAGTAGCGTGCGTGTCATTAAGGAAGTAAATAGTAGGCAAATGCTCCGTGCATTGACGGCATCGTTGTTGCCCATAAATCACATTCAATTTCTATTTTGAAATAAATGTAGAAACTTTATTTACGCATATTTTTCAAAACTGCCAAAAAGTGTATGTCAGTATTTATATTTTGAATTTAACTATCAAATTTGGCTGGACTTTGAAAAATAACCCTGTATACTGGTTATAATGACTATAGGCTGGTTATAATGGCTGCTACATCTATCATAGTGACTGTTGTAATATTAATTCGACAATAGCCAAGAAGAAAACCAATGAAAACCCAAGAAAATCCTTCAAATATTATACGAGTGGAAACCACCGAAGACGTCCCGGAGACATATTCGCTGAATGTGCTGCAATAGTCACCGCGCGGGTGGAGGGGTTACATATAGCAGATAGCACGGCCTGCTAAGAAAATAACAGCACGTCTTTAAAACGTGACTCAATTTACTTACGTGACTTAAGAATACTAAATAAAAACCAAGTTTTAAATGTTCAAATCGTCCATTATTTTTGTGAACATACATTGTCACAGTAGTTAAGTTACCTTGTAAGTTAGAAAATAAAAGTAATATAGGAAAAAGTGTTCGCCTCCTTCTACATCAACCCTCTCTAAACTGCCGCAAAATTAAGTCGCGTCAGTTAGAGAAAAAAAACTACACACAATTTGCAAATAAAAATATTATTTAAATTAAATTTATTATTTTCTTTTAGTCGAGTGGTCTGAATTAAAGTTATGTCTATACGTTTGAATACTAATTCTGATAACGCACACTTAATAGGAACCACAGGGTTTTGTTACACGTTTTATACTACTAGAAGCCAACTACAGTACTAATACATTGTACTCTAAGTTACGTTCAATTCTTACATAACTCCTTTAATCGACTGCGATCGGGTGAGAAGTAAAATACAACACACTTCTATGTATACAAGTTGCTGCACGTAAGTCTAGCGCTGAACAAAACGTGGAGGGAACACCCACGAATTGAATTGCACCAATGCAACTAGAGAGCCAATCAGCGCGACTTATATGCAATACAATAACGCTCACCGCTAGACTTTCGTGCCGCTACTTATACTAAAAGACGTCCGCTACAGTACAAATACATTGCGCACCAAGTTACGCTCAATTCTCCGTAACTTCGTTAGTCCACTGCAAGCGGGCGAGAAGACTAGTTCTTTGTTTTATAAATCGCAAACGTTGTTTTCAACAATCTAACACAGATTTTGTTTAATGTGACTAAGAAAACGCTGTCATAATTTATGTGCGCACTTTATTAACATGAGTTTGAGTTTATTTCAGATAAGTGTGTAACTATATTTCGTAATTGCCTATATTTTCCTAAAAACATTAACTATCGTAAATGAAAATACAACCATCATCTTAATTTATGCGTCTCGCTACTCGCCCGTGCGATACACAACTGTGACACATTTTTGTTCTCAATTGCGGTCTCGTAGTATACATAGAAGTCTTTGGCTACATACGTTTTTTGTTTTTTATTTTATAGAAATAGAGTGACAAACGAGCACACAGTCCACCTGATGGAAGTGGTTGCTGTGGCTCATAGAAAGCCACATCTATCGTCGTTCGCGAATCAAAATGCAGATGTGTCGTCAGCCTTGAAGACTAAGATGGAATGCCTCTTTTCCAGTAAAAAGGGTCGCCGGTTCTCTACACTCACCATATGAAACACAGCAGCATTAAGCTGCTATATTACGCTGGTATTTTGTGAGAGCGTGGTCCTTTCCCGATAGAGCCGAGCCATTCGTGCTACAACTATAATATAAATATCGTAGTATCCATACACGATATCTATTTTTTTAACTTTTGATATGATACAAAATATTCAAATAATAAAATAACTTCGGCAACCCCAAAATTCTGCCGCTCTGAAGTTAACTATGTAGTAGAGCCACACTGCAGCTATATCACGGTTGTAGCACGAAAGGTTCTGCTAGACCGGGGAAGAACCTCGCTCTAACAGAATACCAGCGTAAAATAGCAGCTGAATGCTGTGTTTCGCATATTGAGTGTAAAGAGCTACGGTTTTCTTTGAAGAGAACCTTTATTACTGGATGTGGCAAAGCATGTGGATTGTGATTCCTAATTGAAGATAGTCGTTAGTGTCTATGAGCTACAAGCATCCACTTACCATCAAGTGGACTGTGTACTCGTTTGTCATCCTTATTCTATAAACAAAAATAGTCTTGCACATAACATATATTAAAGTAATATAATCATCATTTATGTCACTATCAAAAACACCTCGCTGAAGAACATGATACTAAGTTATCCACATCACCTAAACAATAACACCATTTAACAACATTTAAGCTATGCTAGTTTATCTGCACTAACAAAAATACCCGGCATAAGAAATTATTGAGATGATTTTGAAATTAATTGGCCATTTAGCACAAAGAAACACTAGCCAATGTCTTATTATATTGTATATAATGTTAACATCTCATGTGTCATGGCACCCGCAGGCGGTTGACAGCTTATGCATGCCCGTGTGTCTACCCGTGTGCCCATTTGGCAATTAAACACGCCTCGTCTTTAATCTATGTTGTTCAAAGATAAAACGCTATTTATTACGACTATATAATAACCATATAATTGCAGTTGTAAATAAAATGGATTATTTAAAAAATAAAAAAAGATTTCAAAAAGCCCACCTAATAATTAGTAATCACTGTAACATATTAGTAATGTAACAGTAAGGGCAAATTACACTTTCACTAACAACTGGGACTCAAATTGTGACATTTTAAGCCACTATATCTTTTACTACTATCAACTTTATTATTATATTTTGTAAATAAATTACCATTTATGTAATCTATACCGTCATAATACCGTCTTAGTACACTAACTAAAAAACTAATAAATTATAGAAATATAATTTAGAAAAATCTACACAGACCGCATATTATAAATACTTTCATTTAATTTATATAATGTTATAATATGAAATAATAGCATATAATAATTTAGAGATTATTTAAACATACCACATAAACATAGATGTGCAACTAATTGAAACTCTTCTTTGCAAAACATCTCCCTGGTGCCTAAGATTTAAAGCAAATATTTTATCCATTCCTATTAGGATTTGACTTCAAGGTTCAAGGTAAGTTTACCTCATAATATAATACACAACACTCAGAGTTATGATTTGCGCCCTTAATTTTGTTGCAAATAGCAAGGTATATATTTGCAAATAGCTTATGGCAATGTTGCCCTCTCATATTTTAATTTTTTCTACAAACGTGTAAATATGTGAAAGGGTTGTCAAAAACCCTTGATTACGTACTTTATTTATTTTTTTTATTTAAAACATGTCACAATAGTTTCTTAAAACTAACCTATATCAACTAAAATACTCTCGACTAAAATTTAAAATGAAATTGATGCAATAATAAGCTTAAATCAGTTATAGTACAGTTAAAAAAAAAGCTACGCACAATCATTTATATCAAGTATTCGTTTGTTTATTAGTCATCATTATAATTTTATTACGGGTCATAATAATATGGCAGGTAAAAAAAATTGTAATCAATCTAAATATTGTTTCGCCACAATAGCAAAACATTCATAATCATTAAAAATTACACTGTTTTTTGGGTGCAAATTAATATCAATATACTAAGTCGAAATTATGAAAAATACTAAGTACTAATAATATTATTAATGCCCGACAACGCAGTAAAAATAGTATAGTTAAAAATATAGGTTGAAAGTGACAACCCTTGGTTGTACGAGTAGCAAAACATGGCAAAGTAACCGTCACATTGTTGCATCACTAGTATGGTAACTTTGCCAAGTTAGTTTTATAGATAAATATTAAAACCAACATGTTAAAAACGATATATAACATTTGATAACCATTAATATTACGCTACTACAAAGATATAGATACCTACATTCCGTATTTCAAATGAAAATTAACAAAAGTTCTGGAGCACTGAACAAAGAGGTTATTTCGCCGGCAGAATTCCGCGTTAAAATAAAATGTCAAAATTAACTCTCATGTTGCTATATCGAAAGCAATGCTGTCAAGTAGTTATTGTATTTTCATCCAAAAAATGACATATCCAGAAAAACGTTACGCTTTCCGTGTTAGTCGTAATTTTGTACCAGTACACCCCTAATGGCAAAGTTACCTTCCATTGGTAAAGTTGCCGGACTTGACTGTATGTGACCAAATGGTAATTTAAAGTTATCATAACACTGCCACAAACTTAATATATTTTGTAACTATTTGCAACTGGTTTCGTTACATTATAAGCAAATAAGAAAATATACATATTATATGATAGATTACTTTCATTGAAAGAAGAAAGAAAATAAGTTTATTTAGTTTTAGGCATGGCTCTTCAATTCAATGGCAAGTGACTCCTAAGACTTACCTATTTTTTTTAAATATTTCTAAAATAATTAGATAGTAGAATAAAAAATAGTACTCACTCTCCTTATCCTTGTAATCCTGCAGGAATTGTGGTTCGACTGTGACGCCTATTTCCTTAGGCGGATCGTCCGGTTTAGGCCGCAGCAGAATGCCTTTAGCGTTGGACGGTCCACATTGTATGTTGAATGTGACGTCTCGCTCTGGTTGATTGTAGTATGTTGTCAAATTCTCAAAAGCCTGCAAAAGGATATAAGGTAAAGGTTAAAAATTACGACTTGGTAGTTCTAAAATTATGGTCTAATAAATTAAAACAATTAATTTATTAATTTTTAATATTTTTCACAATATAAAGATTCATTATTCTATCATACACATTAGAGATTAACTTAAACAAAAATATCTGTGTAGAATAGTTAACTATTTAAGACATCTATGATAAAAGTAATAGATTATAATAAAACAAATATTACGAATTATATAATTTAAATTGAATTAAATTCAATACAATCACTTTTATTACATTAGGTAAAATTAAAATTAAATTAATTTAAATCAAATGCAAATTATTTCAAATTTAAAATATTCAGTTGAATTTATTTATATTATTTATTTTAAATAATATAAATAAATTAATAAGCAAAATTTATTATAAATAACACTTTTTTGGCATTAACTTCTGCAACATAATCTCGATAGAATGAATGGCTAAAAAAGAAATCAAAAAAATAAAAATTACCAAGTGCGTGTTGGGACACACATAAGACTAGGGTTCTGCTGTGCTGATATTCTCTAATATTTTCTAGTTTAAATGCTATCAATATAATACTATAAAGATGAAGAAAGGTGATTGGCTAACACACTCGTGTAAAATAAAATTGTGTGTATTGCCTAATTAGAAAAGCATCTCATACAACTATGGTGTTGGGGACAGTGTTAGTGCACGCAATTGTGGAAGGGATTGGGTTGTTTTTGCATGCCACGCCATTACATTTTCTCATAGATTTAATCTTTCATTTAATACTTGCAATCATCATCATCATCACAACAACCCTTGACAAATCCACTGCTGAATATAGGCCTCCCCCAAAGAATGCCACAAAGCACGGTCCTGAGCCACCTGCATCCGTCGACTTCCTGCATATCTTACCAGGTCGTCACTCCATCTAGTAGGGGGACGCCCTACACTTCGTCCGCCGGTACGAGGCCGCCACTCGAGTACCTTTTTTCCCCATCGGTTGTCGGTTATTCGAGTTATATGGCCGGCCCATTGCCACTTCAGTTTACTAATCCGTTGGGCTATGTCGGTCACTCTGGTGCGTATATCCTCATTTCTAAGTTTATCACGCACAGAAACTCCGAGCATAGCCCTCTCCATAGCTCGGTGAGCGACCTTGAGCTTCCTCATCCGGCCAGCAGTGAAGGACCACGTCTCAGTTCCATAGGTCATCATTGGCAACACGCACTGGTTGTACAGTTTCGTTTTCCAGTTTTGAGGTATATCTGACGAGAAGATGTGCCGTAATCCCGTAATTTCCCAAACGCTGCCCAACCGAGTTGAATCCGTCGATTGACCTCTCGGTCGAAGTTGGACTTACCTAGTCGGACTATTTGTCCCAGGTAAACATACTCGTCAACAACTTCAAGCTTAGTGCTCCCAACAACTACCGGCATAGGTGTGACATGGACATTAAACATGATCTTTGTTTTGTTCATGTTCATCGTAAGACCTATCCGTTGGAAAACACTATTGAAGTCATTGAGCATAGTGCTTAGGTCCTCCAGCGATTATACCATAAGGACTATATCGTCGGCAAATCGACGGATGGAGGACTTCTGTACAATTTGCCGAAGGGTATGTATGTGGTCTATGATGCTAAAGCCTTTTCGGAAACCGGCTTGTGTTTGGGTAGTGGGCACTTCTGCTCCACGCCTCCGGTGTAATGCCACCATGGAGGACGGAATCAAAGAGCCTCTGAAGGACTTCAAGTACCGGTTTTCCACCCGTTTTCAGAAGCTCCGATGTAATTCCATCCTCGCCTGGGGTCTTGCCATTTTTAAGGTACTGGAGAGCCATTCTAATCTCGCTCAGACTGACGTCCGGATATCATCAGAATAGTGTCAGGTAAAACTCGCTCTTGGATCGTTGCTCACACTTGCGTGTGGCTCCAAAGATAATGTGTACAGCTGCCCATAGAACCTCTCAATCTCACTCAAAAACTCAGATGTCCCGGAAACGACGCTGCCACACTCGGTCTTCAGCTTCGACAGTTGGCTCTTTCCGGCAGACAGATCTCTAGCAAAGACTTTGGAGCCCTGGTTCCGCTCGATCGCTTCTTCAATACGAGCAGTATTAAAGCTGCGTAAGTCCTGCCGCATGAGTTTGGAAATGCGTCTGTTCAGTTGTCTGTATGCTGTCAAATATACTGAAGACTGCAGCTTCATATCCCGTCTAACAGCCATGAGATTAAGAATGTGATCGGAGAGTTTTTGTGTTCTTCTGCGGCGGGTCTTGCAAAACTTAGCTCCGACCGCATGGACAGCTTTCATGAGCTTGTCATTCATATCGTCCACTGCATTGCAATCTTCTAGGCACTGAAAACGGTTTCGTAGCTCGAGCTGAAAGGTTTCGGGACTTTGGATTAGAGAACGAGGGGGACGGAGAGTTGACTTCATTAGACGAGACCTCTACAACAGTGTGTGTTCAGTGTGCCTCTCACCATTCGGTGATCGCTGCCGGTTTTCATCCTCGCGATCACTGAGACATCACTGAACTCGACCAGGTCCACTTCCTGTGGGGCCGCTTCTGGAAGAAAGAGTTCATCATAAAGAGTCCCTCTTTCTCCCTGAAGTTGGCTAGTTGCTGGCCCCTTGGGTTCCGTTGCCCTATTCCGAATTTCCCTACTTTCAGCTCACTGTTTTCTCTTGTGCCTAGTTTTGCGTTGAAGTCTCCCATTAACACCGTATAGTGGGTTTTGGGGGAATGCATGGCTCTAGAGATATCTTTATACATTTCCTCCACCTCCTCATCGGGGTGTGCCGAGGTTGGTGCGTAAACCTGTATGACCTTCAGCGAATACCGTTTGGTGATTCTGAGTATAAGGTACGCAACCCTCGTCGACACACTCTCAATCTTTACAACGTTGTTAACGAGAGACTTGTGGACGATAAATCCGACACCTCCTTGGGACAGATGGTCGCCCTCCTGGTGATAGTTGCCGTATTCGAGGATTACCGTGTTCTCCCCCTCTCTTCGGACCTCGGATAATCCTATGATATTCCAGCGCAACTTGTCTATCTCTTGTTCCAGCTACAAGATCTTCTCGTCAGTCCTCAGGGTGCGTGCGTTATAAGTTGCCAGGTCGAGTCGTCGTAGGTGGCAACCGAACCTCCACCGGAGATTCTTAGCACCCACTGCCCCGCCGTTAAACATGGTCCCCACCGTAGCCAGGAATAGCGGGGCCGCCGGGGACTGGGGGCCGTCTCTTCGTTACTTTCATGGGGGGTATATTGCTATATCTTCTTAATATTAAAACTGATTGAAAGATTATAGTGTTAAAATTATCTAAGCCAGCCAAAACTCGATATGTTAGTGTCATGACACATGTGGATAGACAGACAGAACAAAATTATGAGGGTTCCTTGTATGACAACGGAACAAAAAGATTTCTTTAATATTAAAAATAATAATTAAGGCGTGCATTATTTACCTTCTCCATGTTGAGCAAGCCGCAGCCCTGAGCCCAGGGCTCTACGTGACTGAGGAAGGTGGCTGAGTTCTCCAGCGCGCGCTTAATTGAATATGGTGAGTAAGGTAGCTGCTTCTCTTTCAGACCGGAGATTAAGGCCGCTGACATGAAAAGAAAATTTAATTATTATTTCAACGTATAAGGACTGTTTTAAAGTAAGGAACACCAGGTTTATCTGTTTAATAGTATAGTTGTAGCACGAAAGGGTCGGCTCGACCGGGAAAGCACCACGCTCTCACAGAATACCAGCGTAAAATAGCAGCTTAAGTGTTTCGTATGGTGAGTGCAGAGAACCGGCGACCCTTTTTACTGGAAAAGATGCATTCCATCTTAGTCCTCACGGGTGACAACGTATCTGCAATTTGATTGTTTATTGGAGATAGATGTAGATGTATGGTTCACAGCAACCACTTACCATCATGTGGTGGCCTGTGTGCTTGTTTGTCACCCTATCCTATAAAAAAAAATATTGTTGGAACAAAGGCTTACACAGGTAGTAAGGTCATAACGATTTTTCTGTAGTCGTTTACAGTAATGATCACTTACCAGTATTAATAATGATTTATTATTTACCAAAAAAAATTACATGTTGTTCAAAATGAGCCACCCCCCCCCCCCCCTATTTAAAAGGCACGCAGTAGCACAAATCGCCACCTGCTGTGTTGACCATCTTAACTGGCTCGGATCAGCCTTCATTTCTGCTGCAGCAACGTGAATAGGCTTCAGCAGCTATTCCCTGGTGCTGGCTCAAAATAAACTTTTTGCTTCATCCAACCCCAAAGATAAAAAGTCCAGTGGCGTTAACGTTAAGTCTGGTAAACGCGGTGGCCCGGCTACTGGACTGCCGCGACCAATCCACTGAAGATGATGTTGGTCTAGGTGACTCTTAACTGCTCAGGCAGTGTGGTGGAGCTTAGTCTAACTGTAGCCACATGCGTTGGCGATATGACAATGGCAATTCTAATAACGCTTTCCAAAATTCATTATTTAAATTCTAGAAATATTGGGTGCTTCATAAAAGTCTATAAAAACACAAAAATGTTAGAACCCCAAATGTAGAATATTTTTATTGATAGAATAGAGCAAACTACCTCTCTTTTAAGTTTGTACAGTCCGAAACCAAACACACTGTATATGGAATAAAAAGAATACAACAAATTGAAATAAGTGAAAATGTGGCCGACAACAATAGCTGGCAACTTTTATTTGGAAGATGAGCCCTGAGTAAGGGCTAAATATACACGTCATTTTTCTGTCTTGTTGGACAAATGGTTGTAAGTGCAAATGCTAATCATGCATTCGGGTACGAATCCTAGGTTGGGCCGAAATTCAGCTATCGGGTTTAATGTGTCATATAATTCTCAGATGCAACCCGATGTCCTCTATCAATAACAGTGTGACCTGTGTTTCCGCACAAACTCGTGCAAAGAATTAGCCTCAACCCAAAAATGAAATTGGCAAGAAGCTGCAAAGGACAGTAACAAAACTAGAAGATCCCCGTTGTACCTCATATTGTAGCGCGTAGGAGGCGACAGAGGTAAATAAAAATTGAAATATGGGCAATGGCATTTTCTTCAAAGTAATTTAAAAAAAAATTACGGTTGCCAGTCAGCTGTAGTAATGGTGAAAGGGGTGCTTCTGTGAATGTTCATGATCTCAAATCTTTGACTTACCAACGGCGCCAGCAACGTGTGGCGCAGCCATCGAAGTACCGTTCATAAGTTGACAATTCCGAAGAGTAAATCTGTAAAGGAAAGGCGGATTTTAGTTTCATAATCAAAACGGTGTTATTATCAGGGGCAAGTAACTTTAGTCAACATTTTTATGAATTGAGCTTAAATTTATTGATTACTATATGTATAATGTAAACATATGGGCTGCCTCGTTGTTGTAGTGGCCGTAAATGCGATTGCTGATAATGAGGTCCAAAATCTGTTTTTTAAATTTCTCTGTTAAGAAATTGTCAGTATCAGCCTAGAGTCAGGAAGTTGGCGGTGTGTCCCATTCAAAGCATCTATAAAGCTGTTGATCCTGCGCCTGATCTCTCTCAGGTCGTGTAAGATTACCGTTTAAAAAGAGAGTGCACCGCACACACTTGAGTGCTATAATCCCGTCAAGCGCAGATGGTTAGCCCCCGTTGAGACTGGCCGCTGAGACCAAAATTCGGTCTGGAGGACATTATATTACATAATTGGACCATATAAGCAATTTGACAAACTGTCGTCGGCGCAGGGCCCGCGCGAGCTCCAGCTGAAGGCGCCGGGCGGCACGTGCTGCACAGTGTACCTGCGACAGTGCACAGAGCAGCGCGCGGCGCACAGTGCACAGTGTACCTGGCGACCGAGGCGACGGCGCCGCCGGGCGCGCACAGCGACAGGCCGGGCGCCCCGTCGGCGCAGGGCCCGCGCGAGCTCCAGCTGAAGGCGCCGGGCGGCACGTGCTGCACAGTGTACCTGCGACAGTGCACAGAGCAGCGCGCGGCGCACAGTGCACAGTGTACCTGGCGACCGAGGCGACGGCGCCGCCGGGCGCGCACAGCGACAGGCCGGGCGCCCCGTCGGCGCAGGGCCCGCGCGAGCTCCAGCTGAAGGCGCCGGGCGGCACGTGCTGCACAGTGTACCTGCGACAGTGCACAGAGCAGCGCGCGGCGCACAGTGCACAGTGTACCTGGCGACCGAGGCGACGGCGCCGCCGGGCGCGCACAGCGACAGGCCGGGCGCCCCGTCGGCGCAGGGCCCGCGCGAGCTCCAGCTGAAGGCGCCGGGCGGCACGTGCTGCACAGTGTACCTGCGACAGTGCACAGAGCAGCGCGCGGCGCACAGTGCACAGTGTACCTGGCGACCGAGGCGACGGCGCCGCCGGGCGCGCACAGCGACAGGCCGGGCGCCCCGTCGGCGCAGGGCCCGCGCGAGCTCCAGCTGAAGGCGCCGGGCGGCACGTGCTGCACAGTGTACCTGCGACAGTGCACAGAGCAGCGCGCGGCGCACAGTGCACAGTGTACCTGGCGACCGAGGCGACGGCGCCGCCGGGCGCGCACAGCGACAGGCCGGGCGCCCCGTCGGCGCAGGGCCCGCGCGAGCTCCAGCTGAAGGCGCCGGGCGGCACGTGCTGCACAGTGTACCTGCGACAGTGCACAGAGCAGCGCGCGGCGCACAGTGCACAGTGTACCTGGCGACCGAGGCGACGGCGCCGCCGGGCGCGCACAGCGACAGGCCGGGCGCCCCGTCGGCGCAGGGCCCGCGCGAGCTCCAGCTGAAGGCGCCGGGCGGCACGTGCTGCACAGTGTACCTGCGACAGTGCACAGAGCAGCGCGCGGCGCACAGTGCACAGTGTACCTGGCGACCGAGGCGACGGCGCCGCCGGGCGCGCACAGCGACAGGCCGGGCGCCCCGTCGGCGCAGGGCCCGCGCGAGCTCCAGCTGAAGGCGCCGGGCGGCACGTGCTGCACAGTGTACCTGCGACAGTGCACAGAGCAGCGCGCGGCGCACAGTGCACAGTGTACCTGGCGACCGAGGCGACGGCGCCGCCGGGCGCGCACAGCGACAGGCCGGGCGCCCCGTCGGCGCAGGGCCCGCGCGAGCTCCAGCTGAAGGCGCCGGGCGGCACGTGCTGCACAGTGTACCTGCGACAGTGCACAGAGCAGCGCGCGGCGCACAGTGCACAGTGTACCTGGCGACCGAGGCGACGGCGCCGCCGGGCGCGCACAGCGACAGGCCGGGCGCCCCGTCGGCGCAGGGCCCGCGCGAGCTCCAGCTGAAGGCGCCGGGCGGCACGTGCTGCACAGTGTACCTGCGACAGTGCACAGAGCAGCGCGCGGCGCACAGTGCACAGTGTACCTGGCGACCGAGGCGACGGCGCCGCCGGGCGCGCACAGCGACAGGCCGGGCGCCCCGTCGGCGCAGGGCCCGCGCGAGCTCCAGCTGAAGGCGCCGGGCGGCACGTGCTGCACAGTGTACCTGCGACAGTGCACAGAGCAGCGCGCGGCGCACAGTGCACAGTGTACCTGGCGACCGAGGCGACGGCGCCGCCGGGCGCGCACAGCGACAGGCCGGGCGCCCCGTCGGCGCAGGGCCCGCGCGAGCTCCAGCTGAAGGCGCCGGGCGGCACGTGCTGCACAGTGTACCTGCGACAGTGCACAGAGCAGCGCGCGGCGCACAGTGCACAGTGTACCTGGCGACCGAGGCGACGGCGCCGCCGGGCGCGCACAGCGACAGGCCGGGCGCCCCGTCGGCGCAGGGCCCGCGCGAGCTCCAGCTGAAGGCGCCGGGCGGCACGTGCTGCACAGTGTACCTGCGACAGTGCACAGAGCAGCGCGCGGCGCACAGTGCACAGTGTACCTGGCGACCGAGGCGACGGCGCCGCCGGGCGCGCACAGCGACAGGCCGGGCGCCCCGTCGGCGCAGGGCCCGCGCGAGCTCCAGCTGAAGGCGCCGGGCGGCACGTGCTGCACAGTGTACCTGCGACAGTGCACAGAGCAGCGCGCGGCGCACAGTGCACAGTGTACCTGGCGACCGAGGCGACGGCGCCGCCGGGCGCGCACAGCGACAGGCCGGGCGCCCCGTCGGCGCAGGGCCCGCGCGAGCTCCAGCTGAAGGCGCCGGGCGGCACGTGCTGCACAGTGTACCTGCGACAGTGCACAGAGCAGCGCGCGGCGCACAGTGCACAGTGTACCTGGCGACCGAGGCGACGGCGCCGCCGGGCGCGCACAGCGACAGGCCGGGCGCCCCGTCGGCGCAGGGCCCGCGCGAGCTCCAGCTGAAGGCGCCGGGCGGCACGTGCTGCACAGTGTACCTGCGACAGTGCACAGAGCAGCGCGCGGCGCACAGTGCACAGTGTACCTGGCGACCGAGGCGACGGCGCCGCCGGGCGCGCACAGCGACAGGCCGGGCGCCCCGTCGGCGCAGGGCCCGCGCGAGCTCCAGCTGAAGGCGCCGGGCGGCACGTGCTGCACAGTGTACCTGCGACAGTGCACAGAGCAGCGCGCGGCGCACAGTGCACAGTGTACCTGGCGACCGAGGCGACGGCGCCGCCGGGCGCGCACAGCGACAGGCCGGGCGCCCCGTCGGCGCAGGGCCCGCGCGAGCTCCAGCTGAAGGCGCCGGGCGGCACGTGCTGCACAGTGTACCTGCGACAGTGCACAGAGCAGCGCGCGGCGCACAGTGCACAGTGTACCTGGCGACCGAGGCGACGGCGCCGCCGGGCGCGCACAGCGACAGGCCGGGCGCCCCGTCGGCGCAGGGCCCGTGCGAGCTCCAGCTGAAGGCGCCGGGCGGCACGTGCTGCACAGTGTACCTGCGACAGTGCACAGAGCAGCGCGCGGCGCACAGTGCACAGTGTACCTGGCGACCGAGGCGACGGCGCCGCCGGGCGCGCACAGCGACAGGCCGGGCGCCCCGTCGGCGCAGGGCCCGCGCGAGCTCCAGCTGAAGGCGCCGGGCGGCACGTGCTGCACAGTGTACCTGCGACAGTGCACAGAGCAGCGCGCGGCGCACAGTGCACAGTGTACCTGGCGACCGAGGCGACGGCGCCGCCGGGCGCGCACAGCGACAGGCCGGGCGCCCCGTCGGCGCAGGGCCCGCGCGAGCTCCAGCTGAAGGCGCCGGGCGGCACGTGCTGCACAGTGTACCTGCGACAGTGCACAGAGCAGCGCGCGGCGCACAGTGCACAGTGTACCTGGCGACCGAGGCGACGGCGCCGCCGGGCGCGCACAGCGACAGGCCGGGCGCCCCGTCGGCGCAGGGCCCGCGCGAGCTTCAGCTGAAGGCGCCGGGCGGCACGTGCTGCACAGTGTACCTGCGACAGTGCACAGAGCAGCGCGCGGCGCACAGTGCACAGTGTACCTGGCGACCGAGGCGACGGCGCCGCCGGGCGCGCACAGCGACAGGCCGGGCGCCCCGTCGGCGCAGGGCCCGCGCGAGCTCCAGCTGAAGGCGCCGGGCGGCACGTGCTGCACAGTGTACCTGCGACAGTGCACAGAGCAGCGCGCGGCGCACAGTGCACAGTGTACCTGGCGACCGAGGCGACGGCGCCGCCGGGCGCGCACAGCGACAGGCCGGGCGCCCCGTCGGCGCAGGGCCCGCGCGAGCTCCAGCTGAAGGCGCCGGGCGGCACGTGCTGCACAGTGTACCTGCGACAGTGCACAGAGCAGCGCGCGGCGCACAGTGCACAGTGTACCTGGCGACCGAGGCGACGGCGCCGCCGGGCGCGCACAGCGACAGGCCGGGCGCCCCGTCGGCGCAGGGCCCGCGCGAGCTCCAGCTGAAGGCGCCGGGCGGCACGTGCTGCACAGTGTACCTGCGACAGTGCACAGAGCAGCGCGCGGCGCACAGTGCACAGTGTACCTGGCGACCGAGGCGACGGCGCCGCCGGGCGCGCACAGCGACAGGCCGGGCGCCCCGTCGGCGCAGGGCCCGCGCGAGCTCCAGCTGAAGGCGCCGGGCGGCACGTGCTGCACAGTGTACCTGCGACAGTGCACAGAGCAGCGCGCGGCGCACAGTGCACAGTGTACCTGGCGACCGAGGCGACGGCGCCGCCGGGCGCGCACAGCGACAGGCCGGGCGCCCCGTCGGCGCAGGGCCCGCGCGAGCTCCAGCTGAAGGCGCCGGGCGGCACGTGCTGCACAGTGTACCTGCGACAGTGCACAGAGCAGCGCGCGGCGCACAGTGCACAGTGTACCTGGCGACCGAGGCGACGGCGCCGCCGGGCGCGCACAGCGACAGGCCGGGCGCCCCGTCGGCGCAGGGCCCGCGCGAGCTCCAGCTGAAGGCGCCGGGCGGCACGTGCTGCACAGTGTACCTGCGACAGTGCACAGAGCAGCGCGCGGCGCACAGTGCACAGTGTACCTGGCGACCGAGGCGACGGCGCCGCCGGGCGCGCACAGCGACAGGCCGGGCGCCCCGTCGGCGCAGGGCCCGCGCGAGCTCCAGCTGAAGGCGCCGGGCGGCACGTGCTGCACAGTGTACCTGCGACAGTGCACAGAGCAGCGCGCGGCGCACAGTGCACAGTGTACCTGGCGACCGAGGCGACGGCGCCGCCGGGCGCGCACAGCGACAGGCCGGGCGCCCCGTCGGCGCAGGGCCCGCGCGAGCTCCAGCTGAAGGCGCCGGGCGGCACGTGCTGCACAGTGTACCTGCGACAGTGCACAGAGCAGCGCGCGGCGCACAGTGCACAGTGTACCTGGCGACCGAGGCGACGGCGCCGCCGGGCGCGCACAGCGACAGGCCGGGCGCCCCGTCGGCGCAGGGCCCGCGCGAGCTCCAGCTGAAGGCGCCGGGCGGCACGTGCTGCACAGTGTACCTGCGACAGTGCACAGAGCAGCGCGCGGCGCACAGTGCACAGTGTACCTGGCGACCGAGGCGACGGCGCCGCCGGGCGCGCACAGCGACAGGCCGGGCGCCCCGTCGGCGCAGGGCCCGCGCGAGCTCCAGCTGAAGGCGCCGGGCGGCACGTGCTGCACAGTGTACCTGCGACAGTGCACAGAGCAGCGCGCGGCGCACAGTGCACAGTGTACCTGGCGACCGAGGCGACGGCGCCGCCGGGCGCGCACAGCGACAGGCCGGGCGCCCCGTCGGCGCAGGGCCCGCGCGAGCTCCAGCTGAAGGCGCCGGGCGGCACGTGCTGCACAGTGTACCTGCGACAGTGCACAGAGCAGCGCGCGGCGCACAGTGCACAGTGTACCTGGCGACCGAGGCGACGGCGCCGCCGGGCGCGCACAGCGACAGGCCGGGCGCCCCGTCGGCGCAGGGCCCGCGCGAGCTCCAGCTGAAGGCGCCGGGCGGCACGTGCTGCACAGTGTACCTGCGACAGTGCACAGAGCAGCGCGCGGCGCACAGTGCACAGTGTACCTGGCGACCGAGGCGACGGCGCCGCCGGGCGCGCACAGCGACAGGCCGGGCGCCCCGTCGGCGCAGGGCCCGCGCGAGCTCCAGCTGAAGGCGCCGGGCGGCACGTGCTGCACAGTGTACCTGCGACAGTGCACAGAGCAGCGCGCGGCGCACAGTGCACAGTGTACCTGGCGACCGAGGCGACGGCGCCGCCGGGCGCGCACAGCGACAGGCCGGGCGCCCCGTCGGCGCAGGGCCCGCGCGAGCTCCAGCTGAAGGCGCCGGGCGGCACGTGCTGCACAGTGTACCTGCGACAGTGCACAGAGCAGCGCGCGGCGCACAGTGCACAGTGTACCTGGCGACCGAGGCGACGGCGCCGCCGGGCGCGCACAGCGACAGGCCGGGCGCCCCGTCGGCGCAGGGCCCGCGCGAGCTCCAGCTGAAGGCGCCGGGCGGCACGTGCTGCACAGTGTACCTGCGACAGTGCACAGAGCAGCGCGCGGCGCACAGTGCACAGTGTACCTGGCGACCGAGGCGACGGCGCCGCCGGGCGCGCACAGCGACAGGCCGGGCGCCCCGTCGGCGCAGGGCCCGCGCGAGCTCCAGCTGAAGGCGCCGGGCGGCACGTGCTGCACAGTGTACCTGCGACAGTGCACAGAGCAGCGCGCGGCGCACAGTGCACAGTGTACCTGGCGACCGAGGCGACGGCGCCGCCGGGCGCGCACAGCGACAGGCCGGGCGCCCCGTCGGCGCAGGGCCCGCGCGAGCTCCAGCTGAAGGCGCCGGGCGGCACGTGCTGCACAGTGTACCTGCGACAGTGCACAGAGCAGCGCGCGGCGCACAGTGCACAGTGTACCTGGCGACCGAGGCGACGGCGCCGCCGGGCGCGCACAGCGACAGGCCGGGCGCCCCGTCGGCGCAGGGCCCGCGCGAGCTCCAGCTGAAGGCGCCGGGCGGCACGTGCTGCACAGTGTACCTGCGACAGTGCACAGAGCAGCGCGCGGCGCACAGTGCACAGTGTACCTGGCGACCGAGGCGACGGCGCCGCCGGGCGCGCACAGCGACAGGCCGGGCGCCCCGTCGGCGCAGGGCCCGCGCGAGCTCCAGCTGAAGGCGCCGGGCGGCACGTGCTGCACAGTGTACCTGCGACAGTGCACAGAGCAGCGCGCGGCGCACAGTGCACAGTGTACCTGGCGACCGAGGCGACGGCGCCGCCGGGCGCGCACAGCGACAGGCCGGGCGCCCCGTCGGCGCAGGGCCCGCGCGAGCTCCAGCTGAAGGCGCCGGGCGGCACGTGCTCCCGCATGGAGTACGCCGCAGACATCATCTCCGCGGACACGTACGCTCCCACGCCTGCAAGTGAGCGATGCTCGTGCTACAGACACAGGTTCATCACTTTGACTTCAAGATTGGGCCCAATATTAAAATATATGGCACAGTGTGCGAAATCATTTCCGTGCAATTACCGTGTGTAAAACAATCTACCATCCTAATTTGTCCGATGTCTTTCAATAGAAACAGACAACGTAGTACGTTATTTTTAAAATATTAGAAAAGTTGGTTTAAAGAGCAGGTGTAACCGTTACTAAAACATAGTGTGACGGCTCATTATTATCATTATTCATAAATTATAATTAAATTCGATAAAGAGAGATTTAAAATATCATCATCATTATTACAGCCCTTCACAAGACCACTGCTGAACATAGGCCTCCCCCAAGAAATGCCACAAAGCACGGTCCTAGGCCACCTGCATCCAACGACTTCCTGCATATCTTACCAGGTCATCACTCCATCTAGTGGGGGGTCTCCCTACACTTCGCCTACCGGTACGAGAATACCGCTCGAGCACCTTTCTTCTACGTCGCTTGTCGGTTCTTCAAGCTATATGGCCGGTCCATTGCCACTTCTGCTTACTAATCCGTTGGATTATGGCGGTCACCCTGGTTCTACTGCAGATATCCTCATTTCTAAATTTATCACGCAGAGAAACTCCAAGCATAGCCCTCTCCATAGCTCGCTGAGCGACCTTAAGCGTCCTCATACGGCCAGCAGTGAAGGACCACGTCTCAGTTCCATAGGCATCACTGGCAACACGCACTGGTTGTACAGTTCCGTTTTCCAGTTTTGAGGTATACCTGACGAGAAGATGTGCCGTAATCCCGTAATTTCCCACACGCAGCCTAACCGAGTTGAATCCGTCGATTGACCTCTCGGTCGAAGTTGGACTTACCTAGTCGGACTATTTGTTCCAGGTAAACATACTCGTCAACAACTTCGAGCTTAGTGCTCCCAACAACTACCGGCATAGGTGTGACATGGACATTAAACATGATCTTTGTTTTGTTCATGTTCATCTTAAGACCTATCCGATGGGATACACTATTGAAGTCATTGAGCATAGTGCTTAGGTCGTCCAGCGATTCTGCCATAAGGACTATATCGTCGGCATATCGAAGGTGAGTGATGTACTCGCCATTGATGTTGATACCGTATCCTTTCCAGTCCAGAAGCTTGAAAACGTCTTCCAATCCGCTGCATTGGAGAGTTTCGGGGATATAACGTCACCCTGTCTTACACCTCTCTGCAATTGGATAGGTTTCGTACTCTGGTTCTGTACTCGGATAGCCATCGTAGCCCTACTGTACAAACACTTCAGCACTTCGATATAAATACCGTCAACTTGGCACCGCTGAAGGTATTTAGCACCGCCAAAATTTCGACGGAATCAAAGGCTTTCTCATAGACCACATACGCAATGCAAAGTGGCAGATTGTACTCTTCTGTCTTCTGTACAATTTGCATAAGGGTGTGTATGTGGTCTATGGTATTAAAGCCTTTTCGGAAACCAGCTTGTTCGGGAGGCTGGAAGTTGTCGAGTCTGCGTGCGAGACGATTCGTAATGACTCTCGATAACAGCACGTGGACGCGGCTCAGAAATCGGTCTGTAGTTCTTCAAGAGAGCGTTGTCACCTTTCTTGAAGAATAAGACCACCGCACTTCTGCTCCACGCCTCCGGTGTAGTGCCACCATGGAGGACGGAATTAAAGAGCTTCTGAAGGACTTCAAGCACCGGTTTTCCACACGCTTTCAGAAGCTCCGCTGTAATTCCATCCTCGCCTGAGGCCTTGCCATTTTTAAGGTGCTGAAGAGCCATTCTAATCTCGCTCAGACTGATGTCCGAGATATCATCGGAATAGTGTCGGATAAGATCCCCTCTTGGATCGTTACTCACACTTACGTGTGGCTCCAACGATGATGTGTACAGCTGCCCATAGAACCTCTCAATCTCACTCAAAAACTCAGGTGTCCCGGAAACGACGCTGCCACACACGGTCTTCAGCTTCGACAGTTGGCTCTTTCTGGCAGACAGATCTCTAGCAAAGACTTTGGAGCCCTGGTTCCGCTCGATCGCTTCTTTAATACGAGCAGTATTAAAGTTGCGTAAGTCCCGCCGCATGCATTTGGAGATCTGTCTGTTCAGTTGCCTGTATGCTGTCAAATCTACTGAAGACTGCAGCTTCATGTCCCGTTTAACAGCCATGAGATTAAGAGTGTGATCGTAGAGTTTTTGTGTTCTTCTGCGGCGGGTCTTGCAAAACTTAGCTCCGACCGCATGGACAGTTTCCACGAGCTTGTCATTCATATCGTCCACTGCATTGCAATCTTCTACGCACTGAAAACGGTTTTGTAGCTCGAGCTGAAAGGTTTTGGGACTCTTGACTAGAGCACAAGGCGGTCGAAGCGTTTCATTAGACGAGACTTCTCCAACTTAACGTTTAGGTTGAGTGTGCCTCTAACCATTCGATGATTGCTACCAGTTTTCACCCTCGCGAACTCGCGGTCACTGAGACATCACTGAACAGTTGTCGTCTGGTCGTTATAATGAAGTCAATCTCATTTTTTGTCGAACCGTCGGGGCTCGACCAGGTCCACTTTCTGTAGGGCCGCTTCTGGAAGAAAGAGTTCATCATAAAGGGTCCCTTTTTCTCCATGAAGTCGGCCAGCTGCTGGCCCCTTGGGTTCCGTTGCCCTATGCCAAATTTCCCTACCTTCAGCTCACCGTTCTCTCTTGTGCCTAGTTTTGCATTGCAGTCTCCCGTTAACACCGTATAGTGGGTTTAGAAAGAATGTATGGCTCTAGATATATCTTCATACATTTCCTTAAACCTCTTTATCGGGATGTGTTGAGGTTGGTGCGTAAACCTGTATGACCTTCAACGAATACCATTTGGTGATTCTGAGTATAACGTACGCAACCCTCGTCGACACGCTCACAATCTTTACAATGTTGTTAATGTTGACTTGTGGACGATAAATTCGACACCTTCTTGGGACAGATGGTCGCCCTACTGGTTTGCGATGGTTGCTTGGCAGGTCGCTATTCTCAATGCCGCTCTCTGCGTCTTGGTTTGACTCACAACCTAAATAGCTTTGCCCAAGTCGGGTCCCTTCATTACGGGGCTGCAGACTGTCAGATCTCCATGATGTTTAATGTAATCTCTTATAAAGTTCTCACCTTTGAATGATTGAAGGCAACTTGTTGGTGGGTGAGACAGACATAATCAAATAATGCATATACTCAACGTCAGTTACACAAACCATTTCTGATGGCGAATTATTACTTTTATCTCATAACTGCCTATTGGATATATCTGCCATTGTATTAGTTGGTGGAGCATTTAATTATGTCGACCTCATGCAGGTGGTATCTGGAGAGAGAATTTGAGGAAGCTCTCAAAGCTGCGGCCTAAAGCCGCGCAACATGGGACCCCATTCCCTTGAGATGAGCGTTAGACTCTTGACACGCTCTGCGGCTAATTAGCCGCGCTGATCATGCAATTGGTGGTGATTATTGCCTTATCCGTGTGACGTACATTCACTGTGGCTGGATTTCATCGTATTCTGTTTGGCGTTTACACGCATTGATATGCGCGACTTCGGTCGATATTGTGCTTACGCACTACCAAGGGGCCAAGCCCTCTTTTACTGGTACGCCAGTAATTTTGCTGTGGACTACGATCAAGTTCCCAACTTAACGTCCCCAACGTTGGTTGGTTGGCGCTCACCGCACGCGGCGTGTGGAGTCATGTGCATCCCCCACATTCTTTTAAAATATGGGAGAGTGAAGCCCTTGTATCTGGTATTTTAAATAAATATTGTGAGCCTTTTCCAAGCGGGAAGGGATTAATTAATAAGGAATAGACTAATGTAAACCTGATACAAGTGGAATAGGAATGATTTAATGTTCTTAAACTTTTTTGAGCCCTGTCTTCATAAACGGGGTTCTGTAGCTTATAAGGCACTACCAACAACCTTTAGATTGATCTCGTGAATATGACACCTAAAAGAACTAAGTTACTATACAAACACAACGTAAATAAGGGTCCTAACTAAGAAGATCACGCCATAAATTTATTAAACGGCCTATATTTAAACCTTTAGAAAGGTCAATATATGGTTAATATACTGCTCACGTAAAGTTGATATATTTTATATATCGTGTAGATATAGATTTAAAAAAATAAAGTAGAGGGTGGGGGAGTGTTACAATAGCTTCAACCTGTCTCAAGGTCATTTCCTCAAGGGTAGATCTACTGTTTCAAATATAATACTATTTAACTCATTCTTGACAAGATTTGACTTGAGGCTTTTGACTGGATTGAACATAATCTCCTCTTTTTAAAAAGCAGTTTTCATCATATTGGTTTCTATGGTAAATTACCGCAGTGGTTCTCTTCTTATACCCAACAATCGCTCGCGCGCTGTTGTGGACAAATATGTATCTTGTTGGTCGTGTCAATACCAAGTGGCATACAAGGCACCTTGCTGGGACCGTTACTATTTGTTACATTTGTCCATGCCTATAATCATCGTGCCTATAGTATTTTACTGATGATTTGAAAACATCTCAATATAATAAAAATCATCAAAATACTCAATTACTGCACAATGACCTATCAAGATTAGAGTAATACTGTGCAATCAATAATAATCCATCTAAATGCACCCTTGTTAAATATTCAGGCAAGCAGAACATAGTTCATTTAGGTTATCACATGAAAGGTTCATTTAGGTTATCACATGAAAGGTCAGAAGTTACAAAAATAATATGTTATACGTGATCTAGGGATTTTCTACGACTCCAAGTTCATTCAATACCCATGTTTATAATATCATAGCAAGGCATTCAAGGTTATGTCATGTGTACTGCAAAAGTTTTAAATATAAACCAATATGAATATTTTAATATTGTTAAATCTAGTACTGTGCTTATGTTATTGTTATTGCTTTATGTAATTTGCTTACTGTTACCGTTACAGCCTATTTAAGTCTATTGCTGAACATACGCGTCCCCCATAGATTGCCTCATAGAGGGGATATTTGCCATAGTTGGTACGCTTGGCAAGCGGATCGACAACTGCAGTTTTTATTTTTATTTTTAGTTGTTATTAGGAAGACGCTGTTGCCTATCTCCCGATTTGTTTCTCTCTGTGGCCTTTTATGGGATACGAGATAATATGGGGTAGTGGATATTGTTACACCGCTATTAGACGGTAAAAATAATAATATATTATAAATTTGGTGAACGGTTACCTAAAATTATAGACTGTAGTGACAAAGTACTTCGATGCTGATTTTTCGTAAGTGTCAATTAGGGTTAATAATTTTATGCTCACTAGATGTCGGTCGTCGGAAGTGAGGTGAATCTATTTGTTATACAATGTTATCATAATTGAGAAATTGTGTTTTAAATAAAAATTAAGTGGTTATACACAAAACAATGAATCTATGACAAAGTAGAAAATAAGTTAAAATTTTTTCACGTTCCACTCTTTTTTTTCTACTTTTAGAAATATAGCAGTAGTTGGGTTTATCTATTTGTAATTTAATTAAATAAAATAGAAGTAATATTTCAGAAATAAACATTAACCCATATCGTCATTAACATGTAAGTGAGTTGGACATTAAAATGTAAGTGTATAGTGGTGGTTGTGGTTGCGGTACCGATGAGCACGGGCTGCGCGATGTCGGGCGGCGCGCCCACGGTGCAGAGCGCGGGCCCGTGGTTGCCGGCCGACACCACCCACGACACGCCGTACCGGTTCACCGCCGCCGCGATCACCGCGCCCACGCGCCTGCACGCACCACATTACTGCATTATACATTTTGTATATGTACACACAGAAGAATCAACGAGGCATTAAGGCCAATATTAATAAACGTTACTCAGCTGAAGTACACGCACTTGATGACAATCTTGAGGTTATGATCTTATTAATAAACATATCTGAAGATGCGGTTTAGGTTTACGATATCAGCTGAGTGCTACATTGATTAATAAACGAAACTCGACTTTCAAGTGTGTGTACTTCAGTGCAAGTCACAACAGCAGTATTTATAAGTACAGCGTTTTGAGATACTGTTTTCATATAAGCAAGTGAGTGATGGAGCGACAGTAGCAACAGTGGACAGTGGCGGCGTGCTCACCCGGCGTTGGCCCAGTGCGCGTGCTCGCCGTAGCTCATGTTGACGACGTCGACGCGGCGCGCGGTGGGCGCCAGCGCGCAGAGGCGCAGGCAGGCGCGCACGAGCGCGGCGCCCGTCTCCATGGAGCCGAGGCGGCCGTCGCCGATGGTCAGCGACACCAGGCGCGCGCCCGGCGCCACGCCGTTGCGCTCCGGCTGCTCCGGGAAGTAGCCGGCCGCGATCGCCGCCACGTGCGTCCCGTGCGTGGCTGTCACAACATGTCGCATACACACGATCCACTTCTCAACTCACATCCTCTTACAAAACCGATCATGGTGATACTTCAAATAATTTAAAACTATCATAATCGTCATCATTACAGCCCTTCAGATGTTCAAAGATTAACATGGGACTCCCCTAAGGAACCAATTATTATTTACTCTTTTAAAAAACGTTACCTCCACACTACAATATTCTCATGTAGTTTACATACATAAATTACACAAAGACAAACATCCAGACCCAAAACAATTATTTATAGGCCATACAAATACCTGTTCCGTGCAATACAAATAACCAACACCAAAAATGTGTGTTTCTCGTAACTAAACCATACTCCCCTCATATTCTTTAAAAAATAAAACAAAATACAAATATTTTATAAATTACAATTAAATTGAACTGGCCACTTCGAACTGTAATACTATAGTTTGACTTTACTTCAAATAGTTTTACATATTACTCCTTTTTTAAAATCAATTATTAATTTGTTTTTTGTCCCTACGGACTATGAAACTGAAGAAATAGAGTATACTTGTGCTTGCACACACACTATAGTCCTGTCCAGCACACATATGACTAGTCTTCATTAACACTGACAGCCGTGATCAAAATTCGGTCTGGAGAACATCTATTTATTTATTCTTTATTGCATTTCCTATTAAAAAAGAATAAAAAGAGCATACTTAATGCCGTTAGGCATTCTCTAACAATTAAAAAATTATTACTATTATTAAATGTTCTATGTGTGCTGCCACTGTTAACCCATCTGTCTTAATGAGGGTTTTATAGGTCGTAAAAGATAAATCATGAAACGTTGGACTTAACAGTTTAACTTCGAACATGAAAACAGTGCGTCTCAAACGACACGTAACATTAATAACGTATATGGAAATAGCACTGCTAACAACCAAGCAAAGAATAAGTGATGTTAAAACACATGTCTAAATAGTCAGATCTTTGCTTGTGAAATTAAAATTTTGTATACCATCATTGTAATAATAAAATATTACAAAAAAAAAAACAAAAAGTAGAGAGAGTAATTTGTTAATGCCTGCTATAGAAGTTTGCCGAATGAAAAGTGATGAAATCTTTAAAGATATTCTTTACTGTTTCTGTGGAATTAACAGTCTCGCCTATCAAACAGTTATGACAACTGTATCAACAACAAATTCCAAGACCTAATAAAACATAATTCTTTGTATGCAAGCATTAATATAAACTTCAATCTTTGTAGCCTGGTCATTTATACATAGTAGAGCCATGCTGCAGCTATATTAATAGTATAGTAGTAGCACGCATTCGTCGGCTCGAACAGGAAAAAACCACGCTCTCACAGAATACCAGCATATAGTAGTAGCTTAACATTAGTGTGTTTTGTGTGGTGAGTGTAGAGAACCGGAGACACTTTTTACTGGAAAAAGAAGCATTAAGCATTCCATCTTAGTCCTCACGGATGCCAAAACATCTGTATTTTGATTCTTTACTAAGGATAGATATGGATATCTATGGGTCACAGCAACCACTTACCATCAGGTGGACTGTGTGCTCGTTTGTCACCCTATCCTATAAAAAAAATTGATGTACAACATAATCTATACTAATATTATAAAGCTGCAGTGTTTGTTTGTTTGTTTGTTTGTTTAAACGCGCTAATCTCTGGAACTACCGGTCCAATTTGAATGATTCTTTCAGTGTTGGGTAGTCCATTTATCGAGGAAGGCTATAGGCTATGTTTTCTTTTTTCAAAATTAGGGATCCGTAATAAAATTGCTATTTTGTAACACAAGGTGTAAAATTGAAAACCTATTTTTGCGTACGCTGCAAAAACTATTGACAATAAAACAAAATGATGTACTACGGGTTTGTAGATCTCATTAAGACCTACAAAAAAGTCCGCGAGAACATATATCTAGCTATCATGGTTTAATCACAATAACCGATTTTGTGTTCAAATTAATTATTAAATCGTGTGAAGAAAAAAAAACTACGTGAAATATGTATCGTAATATTAATCTTTATCGAAATTAAGCATTATGTTATCAAGAGTATTTATGTAGAAGTAAAATACTTTTTGTTTCATCTCAATCGGATATTTCGTTTAAAAGTTATCACGTGTGTAAGATGTTAAGAGTTGGTACCTATTAATGAGTTATGGACCATAGAGTTTTTTATCAACATAAAATCCTGTAATAATCTTTTTCGAAATATAGTAAGATCTTTGAAGAGTATAATAAATACATTTCTAAAATAACTCTGCTAAGGAAATCCACGCGCGCTTGATGCAAGCAAGACGAGACGCTGGCGGCGCGGCGGCGGGCGAGACGAGGAGGCCGCGCTTGCTGGCCGCCTGTCATCCCCCCCCCCCCCCCCCGCCGCGTCGCCCGCGTGTTTTGTTTGGTTTACAAGGTACCATGCCGCGCGGCTCAGACGCGTAGTCGGCTCCCTACGGAACGGTTGAATGCAGCGTTGCGTTTTTTGAAGTCATTTACGATCGTTCCTTTGACATATATTTCATACGACTTTTAATAATTACTCAGGTACGACTTTCCATTGACGTCAGTGGAGTTTGGTGTTGATACGTATTTTACAGAAAGATTACACTATTATAAGCACACACACAAAGTCTCAATATACGGAAACGCGTAATTTTTGAGAAAAGAATAATTGAAAATCAATTATTCTTGCAATGTTTATGTCTAATCTGATAATAAACTGGCGCCATTTTGTAATGTCATTGTCGACGTCAATAGGGATGTCGATTCTTTCCGAAAAAGATCGATTTTTTAAATAGATTCGAATTGTAAGCTGATGTATCGATCACCAAAAAATCGATTTCTAAAATATCGATATTTTTTTCATGTTTGCATTTATAATGTAAATATAAATCCATTTTATGAGAAAAAAATCCCCTTCATCATAAAAAAATAAGGGGACTGATTCATAAGGATTTCTGTATCTATTTTGAAACTGCTACGTCTCCGGCGCTGCGGGAAGAGCAACCTCTACGCCTTAGCGTAACAAATCGCAGGCATCCCTTCTCGCCTCCGCAGCTTCGGCTTGTTGGTCGCCTTCGGCGACCAGCCTCAGCCGCTCCGGCTCGTCCGATGCCTACGATTTGTTACAGCAGGCGGAGGCTGCTCCCCCTACGCGCCTCCGGCTCTATAAAACCACTCTAGGGGTAGGACAGACTCGTACCAGGTGGAGTCGGGGTCAATCAATTCGGTTCTTTGACATAAGTTGAACCTAACCTATTTTATTTGTTATCTGCCCTAATAGGTACTGTTAAATAAAACAAATTTCAATAAGAGATCATTTATCATGGTATCTTTCTTGTTTTTCATAAAATGGGTTTATATTTACATTATAAATAGAAACATTAAAAAAATATAGATATTTTAGAAATCGATTTTTTGTGAACCGATACATCAGCTTACGATTTGAATCGATTTAAAAATCGACCTTTTTCGGAAAGAATCGACATCCCTATTGACGTCGACAATGACATTACAAAATGGCGCCAGTTTATTAGCAGATTAGACATAAACATTGCAAGAATAATTGATTTTTAATTATTCTTTTCTCAAAAATTACGCGTTTCCGTATATTGAGACTTTGTGTGTGTGCTTATAATAGTGTAACCTTTCTGTAAAAATACGTATCAACACCAAACTCCACTGACGTCAATGGAAAGCTAAGCCATTACTCACCTTACGTTTCTTTTACCTGATTACTACGTTTCAGTTTATTTTAATTAAGTTTTAATTTTATACTGTTTTTCTTTTATCTCTTTACTATTATGCCTAGAAAAAGAACTCAGCTTTCTAGGCAGACTGCTACTGCAAAGCGATTGCGACTTCTACGCAGCAATGAAACACCCGAAGAAAATCTGCACAGGTTGGCTACTCAACGAGCGATCAGTGAACAAAACCGTTTTAGGGAATCGAGTGTTGAACGTTCGCAGCGGTTAGTCTCACAAAATATCCGTACTTCGGCGAATCGACAACGGGAATCAAGTGCTGAACGTTCTCAACGTTTAGCCGCACAAAATTCCCGAACTTCGGCAAATCGCGAGCGGGAATCAAGCGCTGAACGTTCTCAACGTTTAGCTACACAGAATTTACGCACTTCGGCAAACCGGGAACGGGAATCAAGTGCTGAACGTTCCCATCGATTAGCACAGCAAAATGCACGAACAGCAGGGAACAGAACTCGCAGGCAATATAATTTATTGAATTCAGCATTTGCTTATGATTATACCCTTGACTATGCTGAGCTAAATGGTACTAATATTTGCAGAATGAATAAAATATGTAATTCATGTCAAGCAAAAAAATGGCCGGCTGAAGCTCCTGGACTGTGTTGTAGTGGTGGCAAAGTAAATATTCCTAAAATTCCAGCACCAACATCAATTCTTAAAGATCTAATATCAGGCTCACATCCATCTTCTAAGCATTTCTTAAATCATTCTAGACAATATAATACTATGTTTCAGATGACTTCATTTGGTGCCAAAGAAATTCGTGAAGGAAAATTTATGCCCACTTTTAAAGTCCAGGGGCAAGTTTACCATCTAATCGGTAATTTACTTCCACCTGAAGGCGCACAACCCGAATTTTTGCAAATATATTTTATTTCCCATACAGATCAGGTATCTTTACCCTCAAATTTAAACCCAACGTTAAAAACCGATCTTATCGATGCTCTCTAAACATATCTTCACGATCACAATACTTATATTCAAAGTTTTAAATATAATCTCGAAAACAGACCAACGAATGATTTTAAACTTATCATTCATGCTGATGTGAAACCTCCTAATTAACATCGAGGTCGATATAACGCGCCCATGGTAGATGAAGTAGCTGTTCTTTTAATAGATGAAGACAAAGGTCCCCGAGATATAGTGTTAAATACCAGAGACGGGCGCCTTCAGCGAGTTTCTGAAATACATAGATCTTATGACCCACTTCAATATCCTTTACTTAGTTAATTAATTATTAAAAAAAATTAAAAAATCCTTAATTAATTTACTCAGAAGTACTTTAAAATAATATTTTAACCCGGTTTAAAGTGGACGGACACTCCCGCCTGTAGTCGTAATTCTTATGTGTCTGGCTGAATGTCGAACAGACAGACAGCTATTGCCTGCGACTTATACAATTTAACTTAATCTATATTTTTCTTAATATTATAAAGCTGAAAAGTTTGGTTGTTTGTTATGAACGCGGTAATCTCGGGAAATACTGATCTGATATGAAAACTGTTTAAATATTCAATAGTCTATTTATTGAGGGAGGCTATAATATAGGCAATATTTTATCTCGGTATTTCCACGGAAACGAGAAAAACGCGGGTGAAACCGCGGGGCACAGCTAGTCTATAGATATAAATAAAATTGAATTGTCTGTCTGTAATATAGAAATAACTGTTTTTATTGACCTGACAGGGTATTTGCATGCTATTAACACATGAAGAACCATTTATTAAATTTTGTCTGTCTGTCTAGACTCAGAGTAATCTTCGAAATGTGTGAACTGATTGTAATGAAACCTGACGAAAAGATAGAGAGCATTGACAGGTATTCAACAGATGCAGGTGGTTTAGGACCATACTTTGTGGGAATCTATGGGGGAGGTTTATACTCAGCAGTGGACTTGTGGTGGACTTTAATAACAGTGAGTGTGATTGGCAATACAAATATTTTTTTATTCATAGATAAAGGGCTTTGTCGCTGATGCGATTATGCCGCCCTGGTAGTTACAAAAAATCTTAAATATAATAATTACTAACAAATAAACTTATTATACTTACTAGTTACTTAATATCTTATTAACTAACAAATAAATACAAATTTACTCACAGCACATTCCGACCACTTCCAGAGTCTGTCCATCATCGTGCACATTAATGCTGACAGTCATCTCATCGATTGCGGTGAGGTGCGCATGCTCGTGTGTGACGCTATACTCGCCTAACAACAACCCTGAGGCCAAATCACCATTCTCTGATGTGTCTATGCACGCTCTGAAATACATGGGAGTTATATAAAAAAGAATCATAGAACAATTAGCAAATAGATAAAAATTAACCCAATATCATTATTTACCTCCATACTTCTCCATCATGGAATAATACACAGTCATATGTGGGACCAACATCATTGAATTTTTTTTCAGCCGCTTGTAAGGTTTCTACTCTTGCCTCTAACTCTTCTTTCAAAATTTTCTCATCAGGACTTAAATTGGAGTTTTTTGAAGCTGGTGAACAAATATGAAACTATGAACAATGGGATAACAATATTTATGTTTAAATGTTAAATAATTTTTTAAATGTTACTACATTGGGATTCATCACGTATTGTGGAGGTAGTTTACATACATAAATTACATAAGGACAAACATCCAGACCCGGCACAATTATTTGTAGACAATACAAATACTTGTTCTCTATGGGATTCGAACCTGCGGCCCTGAGCGCACTCATTGCTAAGAAACTGCGCCACAGAGCTGTCAATGTATTTCAATTCTAAATCTTTTATTTCATACTAGCACAAACTTACATCTTGATTATTTATTGAGGTATTGATAAATCACCTCAGAAAACACTTAAAGTTTTGTAGATTTACTGTTGAATATAGCCCAACGTGAGGATTTCAATACTCAACCATTGCTATTTAGGGCATATAAAAATATACATACCAACATCAGTCTCAAATTCATTGAGCTTTGCATTAGCCTCAGCAAATGCTTGTTTATAGCCAATATCCCAAAGGTGCTCCTTGCGATGCTCTTGAACACGCTCCTTTAACTTGGTTGGGTAAATACTGAATGGGTATAAAACACCAGTACGCCACGCACCTGTCGGGTTCTTCCATGTTTCAGGTATCTGGAAATGAAATGATAAATGTAAAAGAGATTATGAATTTCTTCATTAATTATAAAAACTTTGTTACATACAAAAATAGAAAGCAGTTACATTCAAATTCACATAATAATAGAACAAATTCATATATTCAAATTCCATATGAAAAAGACGCTAGGGTGTCCATAAGAGCATTATTATCAATTAAGACCAAAATCACCAACAAAATTGTGACGCAGGATTCTAAAGCCAACCCTCGAGCCATAGTGATTATATATACATACATACACACACACACACACACACACACACGCACGCACGCACGTACGCACGCACGCACACACGCACGCACGCACGCACGCACGCACGCACGCACGCACGCACGCACGCACGCACGCACGCTCGCACGCACGCACGCACGCACGGGAAACACCACATTTGCCAAATTACTGTTTAAACTAACTAATTTTCCTCATCATCATTAAAAGATACATACCATATCAAGTAGCAAAACAAACTCATTCAATCAAATCTACCTTACACAGATATTACAATTTTACCCTCAACATTATCGTATACATAACAATATATATTAAGGAAAATTGTTATATATGGATGATTATGTATTTGTTTGTATTCATTTGCATTTGCGTAATTTACAAGACTTATTTTAATATTAGTTGTATCCATAAATATATTAAATTTAGATATTTAAAACTTATATCATTAATTTCATTACAAGAACAGCCTTGAGAAGTTGCAAGTACCCCTCCGTTTTTTGTGCAGAAGAAGACTCAAAAAAAAACAATTTATATATGTTGTGCATGCAACCTATTATGGTATAATCATGTACACAACCACTGTTAGAGTTAATCAACTATATATTTGTCTTGTACAAATACAACTCACTTTAACCAATTTTTTTTTATTATATGTTTTTGTCTTATGGAACACAAACAACACAACATATTCTACTTCTCAACATATTCTTGACGGCTCCGTGGCGCAGTGGCTTAGCAATCAGTTACTGCGCTGGGGGCCGCAGGTTCGAATCTCACACAGAACATGTATTTGTATGGCCTAAAAATTATTGTTCCAGGTCTGGATGTTTGTCCTTGTGCAATTTGTGTTTGTAAACTGCCTCTATGATACAGGAGAAAATCCTAGTGTGGGAGTAAGATTTTTTTTTAAAAAGAAATAATGTAATTTCTGAAATATATATGGCAATGAGTCTTTATATATATAACTCAACAATTCCAATGGTTTAAACAGTAATTTAAAAAACCTTAGTGGGTAAAAAAGCAGTTTTATACCTTGTGTCACTTCCACAACTAAAACGAGTCCCTACAAAGTACATACATACACTTGAAAAACATTACCCTCCTTTTAAGGCAATCAGATAAAAAGAGTGACTAATATGCACTTTATAGATTAACAACACTATTGTCCACTACAGCATTACGCTGAGCTGGGATCATTTAACATTAGCAATACACCTGTAGGTACTTTGTATCTTTTAGCATTGTGTACTACCTCTCTGTGAACAGATACATCTATCTGTCTATATCTAATTGCATTGTCTATTGAATGGGAAAAAGGCTACAGCCTAGTGAAAGAAAGTAGGTGACAATATTACAACTTTATTTTATACCATATAAAATGTCTAAGCAATAAAGAGTTAAACCATAAGAATGTTGTTATTATAGGATTTCCTCTATGCTTGTACTCACTGTAAGAAGGTAAGGTACCACATAACCTCATAAAAGTGACAAAAAACAGCTGTGAAGACTGTCAGGGAATTTGATAATAAATTTTTTATCCAACTTATAATATTCTTGTGAGATAAAAAATAATACAAAATTTAAAATATATTATTAGCAAAGGTTCAAAGAACAATAACAAAGTATATAATAGTAGTTTATATTTATTTTACCTTAAGCTTTCTGCCAGTAATACCGGTAATGTATCCGTCGACAACTTTCCGAGTAACAGTACTAGTATCGACATCTCCACATCCACTGCAGTCAAATCTTTCTATTACCTTTGTCTCCCCTGTCGAGGTCACCTAAGTACAGCAAAAATAAATTAAAATCATAACTAAAAAAACCACCAAACAAACCATGACAAGTCAAAAATATTCACCGTAAGCCCTGCGGCTGCAGGGTCAACTCCAGAATCTAAAATAGCAATTATGGTACCTCTGCCATCGTAGTTCGGATATTTGTTCAAAAATGATACAACCCCCGTCTCTTTTTTCGGTAATAATCCCCAAACAGGGAATTCATATTCGGTCGGTATTTCAGCCATTTTTGATTGCCAGATTTAATTTTAATTACCATTTACCAGAAAACCAGATTACCACATTTCTAGTGTTACCATTTCAAATATCTATTTGCAGTTTTTAATAAAATGCCATTCTCCAATAAAATTATACATATTAGTTTTCAATCCATTTTAAACATAAAATAAAATCAAACAGTCAGTGTTATTAATTACTAAATTGTTAAAAAAGAGATTAGGTACCATAATATGATGTCAAAGACAAATCAATCAATCAATTTATTTATTCGTTGCATATATAATTATATTTTATTTTTTCCTCGTTTTATCTTAGAGTCATCATTCATCATTACAACCCTTTAAAATTCTACTGCTGAATACAGCCTGCTCCAAGGAATGCCACAAAGCACGGTCCTGAGCCATGTGCAGCATGTGTTACCTCTATCTAGGTGGTAACTCTATCTAGTTGGGAGATGCCCAACACTTTGCCTGCCGGTACGAGGCTGCCGCTCGAAAACCTTTTTTTCCCATCGGTTGTTGGTTCTTCGAGCTATATGGCCGGCTCATTACCACTTCAGTTTACCCATCCGTTGAGCTATGTCGGTCACTCTGGTTCTCTACTGCGGATATCCTCATTTCTAAGCTTATCACGCAGAGAACCCTGAGCATAGCCCTCTCCATAGCTCGCTGGCATGGTTTCCTCATATGGGCGGCAGTAAAGAACCACGTCTCTAATCCATAAGTCATCACTTTCAAAACGCACTGGTTGTACAATCTCGTTTTTAGGTTTTGAGGTATATCTGACGAGAAGATGTGTCGTAATTTCCCGAACGCTGCCCAGCCGAGGTGAATCCGTCGATTGATCTCTCAGTCGAAGTTGGACTTACCTAGTCGGACTATTTGTCCCAGGTAAACATACTTATCAACTTCGAGCTTAGTGCTCCCAACAACTACTGGCATAGGTGTGACATGGACGTTAAAAATGATATTTGTTTTGTCCATGTTCATCTTAAGACCTATCCGTTGGGAGACACAATTGAGGTAATTGAGCATAGTGCTTAGGTCCTCCAGCGACAACATCGTCGGCAAATCGAAAGTGAGTGATGTGCTCTCCATTGACGTTAATACTGTATCCTTTTCAGTCCAGTTGCTTGAAAACGTCTTCCAATGCAGCTGTGAAGGGTTTTAGGGGTACAACGTCACCCTGTCTTACATCTTCCTGCAGTTGGATGGGTTTCATACTCTGGTTCTGCACTCGGATAGCCTTCGTAGCCCTACGGTACAAACATTTCAGCACTTCGATATACCTACAGTCAAATTGGCACCGCTGAAGGGCTTATAGCACCGTCCAAATTTCGACGGAATCAAAGGCTTTCTCATAGTCCACATACGCAAAGCAAAGTAGCAGATTGTACTCTTCAGTCTTCTGTTAAATTTGCTGAAGGGTATAGGGTCAGGTATAGAGCTGAAAACCGGCTTGTTCGGGAGTCGTATACGTAAATATAAATGTTATATAACATACATTTAAAACTATTCCAATTATAGGTATATTACTCTAAATAACCTACATAATATATTACCTATTAAATATCTTAGCATACTTATTTAAACAATAAGTACATTATACGCCAGATAATATGTACTCGTATAGGCTACTTTTATAATTCCTTTTTACTTTGTTAGTTAACTTCGCTCTTTAAAAATGTTTACATTGTAACTTGATAACTCAAAGTACCATTTGAGACAAGCGTATAATAGTGTCTTTGAATTCATCGTTTTTTATTACTAAGTACTATATTATATCAGTTTAAAGAACGCGGATTGTGTAACATAGTGAAGTTTGTTATTTAAAACGACCTTTATTATATCTCGAAAGTTCGAAATACAAAATTTATAAAATATCTAACTACCTAACTTACTCAAGTTCTTTTTTAAAATTGAAATGTCAAACAAAACTTACACACCACCTAATGAAATGTGCCTACTGCGGTCCATGGACACCTGCCACTAAAACTATAGATGCGGTGTCACCTCGACGACTAAGGAGAAATGCCTCGTTTCCAGTAAATATGGTTTCCAATTTATAAGCAAACTAGCTTGCTCATAAATACTCTATGTCTGAAGTGGTGAAGATGTTAGTGTTAGTTCACAGGCTACTAACTACTACGAAATACACATGTATTAGTGGGAATTCCTTCTTTTAATAATGTGCCTCGGTATTACCATTGATAGAATATATTTCTACTAATTTGAAACACTGATGTCATACGCACAGACTAGTCTAAGTATATGTTTTAAGTTGTAAATTACTAAGGCCACGAAACTAAACTGTTAAATTAAATTAAAGTTGGTAAAAATTACCTCGCGTACATCCGCTCGACAAAATAAAATGATGTGTCTTACCTAGTTTGAAGAGCACCTCCCGCCCTCCCTCAATTACTCTGCGGTGGCTGATCTCTTAGCGGTCAGCTACCGCAGAGTCTACATCACCTGAAGAGTCCTCGTTTAGAGGCGAAACACGTGTCGTATTGTCGTCAGTGGTGTGTCGGAAGGTGCAGGGAAAGCGGGAGGTGCTCCTCAAACTAGGTAAGACACATCATTTTATTTTGTCGAGCGGATGTACGCGAAGTAATTTTTACCAACTTTAATATAATGGATTTCCACAATATACGCCTGATTCTATTAATTATATTAAGTTAAATTAAATATACAGAATTTCATAAAACTATTTTGGTTTAGATTGTTTTTTAAATGATAATAATTTAATAATTTTGTTGGTGGTTTTGTTAAGACATAATTAATTCGGGTCTGTTGTGAGTTGCGTTGATATGAGTTTATATTATTTTATTATTATTAAATAATAATTATTTGTATTTTGAATTCTATTATGAACAGTGGTAGAGCCACACGGCAGCTTTTGCTGTCGCAGGGATGGGCCGGCTCGAACCGGGGTGGTACCACGACCTCACAGAATACCAGCGTGAAGTAGAGGTTTACCTCTGCGTTTCACTTGGTGAGTGCAGGTGGCCAGAGGCCGTTTTTACTGGAAATGAGGCATTCCATCTTAGTCCTCACGGGTGACAACGCATCTGCATTTTGATTCGCAAACGAGGATAGATGTAGATGTCTATGGGCCGCAGCAACCACTTACCATCAGGTGGACTGTGTGCTCGTTTGTCATCCTTATCCTATAAAAAAAAGAGCACTTATGCATTTGATATATGTATTAATTTTTAATAATTAATATTAATATTATAATTAACTCGAATAAATGTAATATCACCCTAAGATCAAAACAAACGTTGTAATGGTTTTTGAGAAATATTTTACTGATATTCCGATCTTAACCACTAATTCACTAAATTATTCTTCTGCCATCGCCGAATTATTACTTATACGAAATGTAAATGCGTGTACAAAGAATTTTATATTTCATAATGTATTATCCAAATATATTTTATTTTAGAGCTATTGATGATGAAAACTGCAGATCTGTGGGGGATTTCTGTTAAACTTATTGCTCCTATAATAGATAAAATCACGCCTCATCTTGCTATTATTTTTAATACTAGTATCGAATTTGGTGTGTTTCCTGATTTAATGAAGCATAGTGAAGTAGTACCTTTATTTAAAGCTGGTAGTACACTAGATCCCACCAATTTTAGACCTATTTCTGTACTACCAACACTTAGTAATAAGAAAAAAAAAATGATTCTTGATCAAATGTTGAATTTCTTTAATAGGTATAAATAATTTACTTCATAAAAATCAATTTGGTTTCACAAGGGGTGGCTCGACAACTGATGTCGGTGTTGAGTTAATTAAATATATTTTTAATGCATGGGAGAAATCTCAGTATGTTTTGGGTACATTCTGCGACATATCCAAGGCCTTCGATTGTGTTCACCACGAAACATTTATCAGGAAACTTTAACACTGCGGTGTAAGATATGATGCTTTTAAATTAATTATTTCATATTTTAAGTAACAAAACGCAAAAAGTTGTCATTAAAAAATTATCATTTGTAGTATGAGCTCTTCTGGGTCTATGGTACAAATGGGCGTGCCTCAGGGCTTAATTATCGGCCCCTTTCTGTTTCTTGTATACATTAATGACTTACCTTACATAGTAGGGGATAAGCATGATATAGTATTATTTGCTGATGACACTTCTTTCATTTTCAAATTAAGACGACAATTACTAAAATATGACGAAGTAAACAATGCAATAAGTAAATTAGTAAATTGATTCAATGTTAATAATTTGCATTTAAATGGCACTAAAACGAAATGTATGAAATTCATGACTCCAAATGTCAATTAAATACTAATGTAATTTTAAATGGGGAAGAACTGAGTCTTACCATCATTTTTCTTGGAATCACACTAGACGCGAAGCTTCAATGGAGCCCCCATATATCAAAAATAGCAAGCAGACTTAGTTCTGCAACATATGCTGTAAAAAAGATTAGAAATCTTACCAGTGTTGAAACAGCTAGACTTGTTTACTTTAGCTATATTCCATAAGAGCAATTTATGATCTATAATAAAGAATCGCTGCGACAAAAATTTAATGTAAATTAATATAATATATTAATTATAATATTATTAACTTTGGCCTCTCAACACATTTATGAAAATGTACGTACACAAAAATAAAAATAGTTTTACAAAAATAAGTGATATTCATTTTGTAAATACTAGGAACAGACACAAGCTAGTAGTACCAGTTACTCGACTCTACCGAGTCATTAATTCATTGTTGGGGCGATGTATACGCTTTTACTATGCTATGCTTTTTAAGTTCAAAAACTTTATTAAACTAAGTTTGTATAAAAAGGGTTATTATAATATTATGGAATTTATGAATGATAATAACCGCTGGAAATAAGGTGGTCGCTACCAAGCTATTTCTAATTTGTTGTGTTGTTAATTGTGTAACATACATGATTGTAAGTTGTTATTTAAAAAAAATCCCGCTGGGTTTCTTGCTGGTTCTTCCCAGAACAGAGATTTTTTTGCGAACCAGTAGTAA